AATATTTGGAATCATTGTAGATTGAAATACAAAAATTGACTACTATAGGAGTTTTATACAAGTTTTATTGATACAATATACACACTAGCTAAACAATATAAACAAACTCAAAACTGTCTTTTCTCTAGAAAATATTTTACATCTGCATTCAAAGTCTCCTCCTATCTTTATAATTCCTGCAAATTCATTAACCTGGCTACGTATAGGATAAAATGACTCCTTCTGCAAAAAGGCAAGCAAATCCTTTTCCAGTTTGAACACATCTCCTTGGATTTTCCTAATAACTGTGGTTTTCTTTGTATTTCTTCGCTCCAGTTCAAGATATACTGGTATCATGTGGTTTTTTGTTCTCTCAATAAAGTAATGTCTATCTTTCAGATTGTCAGCCTGAGGTCTCCATCCAGAGGGATATTTGTCTTTTTTTACTGGCTCAGGCACAACTGTTGGGGGTAAGGCTCTTTCAACAAATGACCAGTCAACTGGATCTTTTGTAACTTCATATTTTACTTTTACATCCCTTAGATCTTCTAGGAACTGCGAGCTTTGGTAACTGGAAGGCCTTACAATCTAAAAAAATAGATTTGTTTCTTTAAATCAAGCAACAAGCACAAAATGAAGTATTAAAAATACCTGGGATAACTTTGGATGTATCCGAGTATAATTTTGGTTTACCAATTTTCCTATTTTTAGTGTGATTACAGCCATAGTTTTCGTATTATTTTGCTTCAACTTGTACAAAATTCAGAAAAATTGGAAAAGTGTTTTCGTTTTCACGTTGACACATCTGCGAGATAAGGTTATGTATGTAATAGAGATGTGCATAGAGGATCGATACTTTGTGTACATTTTGAAATTTAACGTCGGACAACCTTCCATATTTTTACTTTCCACGCCAATTAGCGACGAACTGTTGTAATCACAAAAAAAAGATTGGATATTAAGTTTTACAATTGATCAACTTATTCTACTAGAAGATAGCATCGTAACGCTATATTCCCAAGTCCGAAACATTATCCGAGATGAGATACCGTAGCGTCATCTATGAAAATCTGCCACAGCTCTTTCTCTATTTACTCTGCATAATTGGCTACAGCGCCATTTATGAGACACTAGCTTTTTCAAAGTATGTATTCAAATTTGGCAGACGTCGCAGTGTGTTCGAGAGATAAGCGCGAGAAGCGAGTGCGCCGATGGCATCCTTGACGTCGTACTCGGGTTGCCCGGCAACTTCTATCTCTTCCTACACACGTACAACGTCAGAGGTATTTGGTTTTCAGTGTATAGTAATCACCGAAACAGGTGTCACAAATTTTCATTATGTATGTTGCATCTTTGGTATCAGTGAAAGACGTTCCATTATTAGGAAGCTTCTGATCTCGATAATTTCTTATCCATCTCTTAGTAATGCATATGTTAAAATACTGGTAAGTTTAAATCGCACTACTGATCAACATGTCTCTAGTAGTCCATTTGACCGCTCGAGCTCGATCATGATGTTCAGCCCGATTCACCGAATCGCCACACCACCCGCATCGCTCGTCGATATACCGGGTTCGCTGCCTCACCAATGTGATGACCCTCTTGACACATATGATTTTTAAATAAACAGATCATCATCTAACTGTTAACAGAATTTCTGAGAAGTACAGAGTCAACCTGCTTGGCACCATTTTTTAGACATGACAAAATATTTGTGCATATAAGTTGTTAGGTCGATAGTACCGAGCATACTTTTATATGACAAAGCAAAATTAGCTTCCCCACCTTAACTTCTTGTCAGCCATTCAATAAGGCCGTGCACGTAGATTTTACTAACGTTTTGGCTAGTGCGGTGGCTTTTTCAAAGTACAATGTAGGTGACCGTCGTGTGAAACAATTGCATTGTAAATTCACATAAGATGATTGTATCAAAATTAAACGCTCCGCAATTTGGCATACAAAAACACACAGCCCTTATAGGAATTAAGTTTTTTTTAACATTACAGATTAGCAAAATAAATTACAATCAGTTATTTTTGGATTTGATATTAAAATAATCTGAAATTTTACGTTTCGGTGTTTTGTTCTCCTCTTTGCTTGTCGACATTTCTGCGAAATCAACATCCATTTCTTCATCAATAGTAAAGGCACTAGCAACAAGTGTTTGATCCTCCACTTTCAATACTTTCGTCTTTCTCGGCATCTTATCAATCTGCGTCAAGAGAGAATCTGGTTGTGATTTTTCATTTTGGGTTTGGAGACGCCTTCCAAATCATCCATTAGTAAGGCTATATCTGTCTTTGGCAATTTCTGAACAATTTCTTCCTCAGTGAATTTTGCCTTTATTTTCGTTTTCTTTTTGTATTTAAAGTCTGTCACAGTAGTTGGGGTGTACCCTCAATGATATCCTCTTCAAAATCACAAGTCTCTTCAGTTACCCTGCTTGCCTCGACATTTTTTGGGCCGTCTTCACTTTTTGCAGTATTTGAAGATGGTTGTTTTTCCTTGCCGGGTCCGAAAAAATCCCTTATATCAGTGCCACTTTTACTTGAACCACTAGTATTTGTGGTCAGTGATGGCTGAGGTGGTTGTATTTCTCTACTACTGCTTTCTCTTGATGTTGATGGTTGCTCAATTTTTTCACCAACAGATTTTTTCGAATCAGGCTGTTTTTTACTATCAAAATATGCCTGTTGTATGAAGGAATATAAGTTTCGCTCAGGCACATTTGAGGATGAAAATTTGCAAAGGATTCGCCATAATTCAGCTAAAAAAAATAGAGCATTCTTAACATTTAGACCTTAACATACGAGGTGTAGCAGAAAAGTACTGAGACTGGCAACACTGCAAGCAATCTTGCAACACTTCGCTGTTGTCCTTCATAGTGCACGAGTGTCAGTCACCTTCCATCGCTTAGTGCAACGCTTTTTTAAGGGAATAATATTGATGTTTGATAAAATACACACTTTGCTAAATAAAAAATCAGTCTCTTTACTTCTCTGCCACACCTCGTATAATGCCAAAATGTTTAAAAGCTGCAAAATCATAGACTAACATCTCCCTTTTAAGCGCATTGGCATTAACACAAGGGATCTGATAGTACCCACTGACTGTTGTGACAAAATAAGGGATAACGTGGAATGAGTCGGTGGAATAACTTCGTGTAATACTATTAAGCAGCACTTCGAAAAGTCACGAACATTTTGGTTTGGTCATATTTGGCGTCCAAGAGAGGTGTTCTCGAATGTCGATTTGTTAACGTCGCAGGAAACTCATAAAGTTACAAACGATGTCAAGAATTACAAAGATATAATGCATATTTTTCTTCCTGTTTCGTCACCGTTTAATGCTTTCAAAACACAGTATTGTACCTTGACGAACAAGAAGCGTCCTAGCGTTCATCCGGTTTCAATGGATTCCTACCAAAGAGCCCTTAATTTCGGCTGGTCGGACTCCATTGCACCGACGACTTGATCTGGCATGAACACATCTCGTCAATAGCGGCAGCTGCAGGAAAAAGCTAGGTCACTTGTTCAGGGCTGAGAAGTACTTTTCTCCAAGTGACCTCCTCACTCTGTACAAAGCCAAGATACCTAACCTCGAGTATTGCTTACATCTTTGGAGTTTTGCCGTCCCGTCTACATTATCCATGCTCGATGCTGTTCAGACGAGGGTTGTCCGACTGGTGGATGACTGTTCTCTAACGGACAGTCACGGGACTCTTTCTCACTGGCGAGCTGTCGACGATCTAGCTCTCTTCTACCGTTACGCCAATGGACTTTGCTCCCCAGAGCTCTCCTTCATGATGCCGCCGCGTGATGTGCATACCAGACAAAGCCGTCTGGTTTCAGCCCTCCCATCATAACCATGTAGAACTCATATATCCAGCACTAGCCCATACGACCGCTCGTTTGTCCCAAGGAATCGAGATTGTGGAACAATCTACATGAGGAGGCTTTTGACAGTTCAACTACCTTAGGCAGTTAAAAAATCTGAAGAACATCATTTTCCTAACCTGTCAATATATTTGTGCGACTCATCTCGAGTGCGAGAACACCCACTGGAGCGATTGTAAATGAAAATGTTGATAGATGACACTTTCTGTGCAGTAGATAATGATCGACAGGTTTCACAAGAGCCCTGTCTCACCGGGACGCCATGACGATATCACCAGTGTCGGTAGTTTCCTGAACTGGCGTCGGTTTGGAGACGTCGCAGTTAGGCACCGCGTTAAGGAGCTGTCGTATACATTTTTCAATAGGTTATTTTAGATACGAATGCTGCAGACATTGACATTGCCTCCCGCTGACGGTGGGTTTCCAGAGACTTTCTAACAAACTACATAATTTCTACGTATACAGGGTGTTCCATACTTGAATGGACATAGTGAAGAGGTAGGTAGTGTGAACCAGAACTTCTCATATTGAAAATAAAGACGTAGTAAATTGTTTACAGATATATAAGGTGATTCATCTTAGCCCGCCAAATGTTAATCACATATCTTAGGCACTATTCAACCGATTTTGTCAAAATTTCACACGATAACAAAGTTGCCTAGGAGAAACGTAAAACTATTGAGGACCGATAAAAATCCAGTGCAGGATTCGATTTTTTTCACTTTCTTGTGTTTAATCAAATTTATTCCTTTTAAGCTCAATATTGAAATGAACGGCTGAATGCAAAAAAAGCCAATGATGCCAATAAATTAGCAAAATATTGATCATGGTCTTTAGTTATTTTTTTTTATTTATCCAAGTAACTTAGTTTCAACATTATATGACACAAAGCTCAAATTTCAATGGTTATCAGCTTGGTTTCATAAACATTATACAATATAATGCTTAAAATTGAACTAAAGATGATTTGGGGTTCACAAAATTCCAGAGTCGGTGTCACGTAACAAAATCACGTAACCTTTTTTTACTATTTTAATCACTTACTAATTTGAATTCCTCTTTATTATTGGTCGAGTGCCCATTCCTAGGCAAACCCTTTTCATTGGTTTTCTTTGGTAAATTTCATAGTTTATTTCACACGTATTATATATTTCTTTCTCAGCGATTCAGTAGTTTTAAAAAAACTCTGTAGTTTTTCTACGTTATTTGGTTCCCTATCAAGCCCACTCATTGAACATTCCTTTATAGTTAGGTGTTTCAGTCACTTTCCTCCTCAGATTGTGGTGTGAGCGCGATTTGCTTAATCGTCAGATTCGTGGATATTAGGTGTAGGTATGTGGTGTAGTATCCCTTCATATAGTACCTTACGTTTAGTTGTTTTGGTGTGGGTGCTACCTCTTCCATTTTCTCATAAGATTTTTATATTCAGCGTGGGAGACATTGTGGAGAACCACCATACACTCCCTCCAGCTTGTTTGTAGCTGTTTTGCAGTAGGTATTGCTGGAAGTCCTCCCCTCAAAAAAATACTCTGTTCACATCATTTTTTTTATTTCGTTGTATTTTATAAAGTGCACACCCTATAAGTTACACTATGAATTTATGGACATTTCGCAGAAAAAGGAACACCACATGATATATGATATAAATAAAAAGGAAAATTAATGTTATGTGCCCTATTTAATTCTATCGGCATTTTTTTAAGAATTTAATTGCTAACTGATATACAACAACATGAGTCCTACTTTAGGGAAGGTCAAATTTAGTGGAATCGCACATTTAATGCCGTTTCCGTTTTAAGCAGAACTCATGTTGTACAATAATGTACAATGTTGTGTGAATGAAATCATCCAGACATTACAGAAAAAACCAAACAGGGTGCATAACATTAATTTTCGGCATTATTTATATCACGTATGGCTCTTTTTTCTGCAAAATAATAAATTCATAGTATAACTTACAGGATGTTGTACTTAATAAAATACAAGACAATAAAAAAACTGAATCTTTAGTTCAATTTTGAACATTATTTTGTAAAATATTGATGAAAGCAAGTTAATAACCCTTGAAATTTTGAGTTTTGTGTCGCATAAACTGCTGAAAATAAGATATTTGAATAAATAGAAACGTTTAAAAAACCAAGACATGATTTTTCAATCGTCTGTCTAGTTTTACGTTACTCCTAGGTAACTTTACTGTCGAGCAAAATTTCAACAAAATCGGGTCGATAGTGACTGAGATACGTGATATTGACGATTTAGTGTTTAGATAAATCAAAATGTATATTCGTAAATAACGAATTTGGACCTTTTTTATATACAGATATGAAAAGGTCTCTGTAAATACTACCTACAATTTCACTATGTTCAGTAGGGAACATCCTGTATATATACAGGTATCACTTACAGATTGTGATGTTATTCTTCGAAATAAATAGGTACATATTGTATAAATCATCTCTCAGCTCTCTATTTCCAAAGTATAATACACCATATCACGTTCAGCAGCATTACATGCTATTAACTGTAAGAGGGACTTCAACGTTGATAGGCCTCGGTAGACGCCACAACCCCAATTTCCAGTAGCTACTGGAGACAAGTTTCCTTTCATGCTTGACGAAAAACCCACGTAGGCCTGAAAAACATCCACAACTCCTATCATCAAAAAATAAATGTTATGTTTGACTAATTCTATACCGAGCTACTGACCTTATTTAATTCTCTCAACATAGCCGACGGATAAAACTGGTCTTTCGACTTCTTAAAATGTATGGCATCTATCATACATACAGACGTTCTTCTCCGACCATACTCATCATGGGGAGTTTCATCCACAAAGTTACCATCCCATTTAAACTCCTGACCATATCCATTATATTTACTGAACCGTTCAGGGCCTAGAATAGGACTATGAGATTTGTTTCTTGGCACCAAAGAGTATTCGCGAAAACATCAATTTTCATATTCCATCAGAAGATACCCAATTCAATTGAAAGACCTGTATGTATGAAGGTAAAACGGGCATGTGGGTGAATATACGGTATTTGGGTTTTCAGTATCAACTAAGAAAAATAGCTAATTTTGTTTTCATATTCATTATGTTACACGATGATATGTGATATGCATTTAACAGGGTTAGATAATATTTTGATTTTGGCTGCTTTTATAGGTACGCGGGGAAAGTGTGTCAGGGGTGACATTTAAACTAGTAACGCCCTCCTACAGCTGGGACCTTGAGCGGCGAGGAGTCACCTTACCGATTCGACGCTTAGGCAACCTTTTACGCGACTGTATGAGCGCTTACGCTGTGTAAAAAAAGAGTACACCGACGCCAATACTAAACATATCAGAACGTAAGGAAGTTGATTCAGATCGTGGGTATTCACAGTGCATAATTTACTTAAGAAAGTTGATTCAGATCATGTGTATTCAAAGTACATAATTTAATTTTTTCATTGATATTCATTCTACTCGACGGCACTATGTCAGGGCACACGGATTTTCACACCTGGCGAACAATAGATACCAGAGCGTAGCGTACGAAAGTGGACTCAAATACTATGCTAAATGCATATACAAAGTTCATTTGTCCAAAATTGCGTCGGAAGTACAGTGTCAACCTATCATACTATTCTTATACAGGGTTTGTCCGGAAAGCAATAGGACTCATTTTCTTCCGCCATGACTGTACTTCGGAGCGGGCGCGCACCGACTGGATTCGGTAGAGGGCGTTCCTAGCTAACGAATGAGCGGCTGGTCAGTTGTCTCCGAGCACCTGGAGAGTCAGGACAGGCATTTTCGCGCGACGTATTTTTGTGAGTGGTGCAAGCCGAACATGCAGCGTTCGTTAGAGCAGAGGTACGCGATTAAATTCTGTGTGAAACTCTGTAAATCTGCGACAGAGACGTTTGATATGATCAAACAGGCTTACCCAGGTGTTGCTTTAGCAAGAAGTGGTATGTTTCGGTGGCACCAGGCCTTTTTGGAGGGCCGGGAAGAGGTCGCTGATGAAGACCGTGCTGGAAGACCTTCGACTTCGACAATCACCGATAATGTGACTCGTGTGCGCAAAGTTTTGAACTCAGACCGTCGACTAAGTATTCGCTTAATTGCCCAGATGTTAAATTTAACAAAATCTGTGGTTCATGACATTGTGACACAGCATTTGAACATGAGCAAGGTGTGCGCGAAGGTGGTCCCAAAAGTGCTCACTGACGACCAGAAATTGCGGCGAGTGGAAGTGTGCCAAGAAAATTTGAACATGTGTGAAAGTGACCCCCAATTTTTGAATAACGTAATCACAGGTGACGAGTCGTGGATCTTTGAGTATGGTCCCGAGACAAAGAGGCAATCTTCCGAGTGGCACACGATGGCGTCTCCTCGCCCAAAAAAGGGAAGAATGAGCAAATCCAAAGTGAAAACGATGCTCATTGTCTTTTTTGACATCAAAGGCATCGTCCACCATGAATTTGTTCCTCCCGGACAAACCGTCAACGCCAAATTTTACGTGGTAGTGCTCAGGAGACTCAAACGAAGGGTCAGTCGGGTCCGACAAGACATCGCAGCCGACTGGAAGTTGCACCACGACAACGCCCCGGCTCACCCCGCCTTTCTTGTGAACAGCTACCTGACCAAGGCCGGCATCCCAACGCTTCCGCAGCCGCAATACAGCCCAGATGTGGCCCCCGGACTTTTTTTTGTTTCCTCACCTGAAAAGGCCGATGAAAGGCAAGCATTTTGAGACGACAGAGGGGATCCAAGCAGCATGCACCGCGGCTCTCAAGGCTAATCCGGAGAATACCTTCCGTGACGCCTTCAATCCTTGGAATCGCCCTGGCAGCGCTGCATCGACGCCGAAGGAGCCTATTTTGAAAGTTTTTAAAGAATTGTAACGATTGGCTCAATAATTTTTTTTAAATCGACTCAGTCCTATTACTTTCCGGACAAACGCTGTATAGGAATTATTCCGATTCTACTCGGCAACAGGGGAATGTCAAAACACAGCATGGAGTTGGGCAACTTCTTAGAGAACATGTTATTAAACAATACAAGTGATTCAGCAAAAACATTTTAATGTTAAGCCGCTCGAGAGTAGCGATGCTTTTTGATGAATGTCGTCATTGTTTACCTGTAACTATCACAGCCTCTTGGTCTCCAAGTGCTTCTACAAACATACGACTTACAATAAGTTCAGGACATATTACAAATCGTATTTCTTCCTGGACACATCCATACTCTAGTACTCCCCCTCCAACTAGCCTAAAATGAGTTTTAACCAGTCGTTTCTAGCTTAAAATACCATAACAAAACTAGTGTATGTAAATTGCCTTAAGAAAATGAATTTGTAGCACTATTTAATTTACATAAGATTAGTGTCTTGTCATTGAAATAAGCATAATACATACTTGTGTGCAAAATCAACTTGTAAAAGACCAATGCCATCATCTTCGATAGTACCAGCACTATTTACATGCAGTTTCGTTCTGCCTATTATATTATCTAGCATATCCCACCTAGGCATTGTGCTTCTATGTATAAATCGTCGTTCAAATGTGAGTACACCAACAGGGCCTAGAAAATCACAAATTTGCAGTTTGAGATTGTCGGGCTTTGAGTAAAACGTCTTGTTAGACACCCTTAAGGCATGATACCCAAAAAGTATGGAGTGATCCATACACCAATGGAAGCTTATAGAATATTTTTCAGACCTAGAGACATTTACTAAACATTTAGTGGTATTTATATTTCTATCTGATCATATATGTGATAGATCCAATTTACGACGTATAAATTAGACATTGAAGACTTGCTCATGGAACCCATACTGAAGAAAGTAGAGACATTTAAATCTGAATAGTGAGTTTATATTCCCATGATCTACTTACATCTTTCTGTAACTCTTCTAAAATAATGTATGAGACACCTTAACTTCTCCATCACAGAATCTTTTCTTTTAGGCCTCTGGCTAGCTGCAAATAATCTCATAAAATTTATCCCAGGACACGTTGACATTCCTTTTTTCCATGGAAACGTACACAGAAATGCATTGGCTAATAAGGTAGCTACTTGCAATTGAGACAAACTCACAGATCTATTGTGGTTGGACTTCAATAGGAGAAAGCTTTGAGGTAATAAATCTGGAAGTTGTAAGGCTAAGTTGATAATCTTTGGTAGAAGGCCTTGAAAAAATGAGTCGGTTTCATGATGATCTAAAACCTGCATAAGATATTATTTTACACAATCTAAGAACAGTGGCCACTCGTGATTGTGCAACTCACAGTCTGAATGAAGTTTAATTCTTTATTCAATCACTTCACGTTCCAGTCCACTGATATGAATTATTCAATTTTAGTAGATAAATGTGTTTAAAAGCCATTGATCAAACTAAGAACGTGAGGTGGTTGTGTGAAACTTCTACGTACGAGTTGCCACTGATTGAATAATCTAATAAAAGTCTTCATATGTATTTGCCTGACTGATTTTATTACTTAAAAGACAAATTGGATATTTATGTCATTGCTCATACACTACATTGTATTTAATTACTCAGGCAAAGTACTGAAGCTTTTTCTAAGAGCTGATTAAAGAAATATTTTACCTGTTCAAAAAAGTAGTGCAGGGCTGTGAATTTTGGTAAAGAACTGGTATAGTAGCTGTTTATAGCAGATTCCAGTTCTTGACTATTTTTAATTGGTTTTAATAAATTTTCATTTATAATGTGCCATCTCAATTTTATAACCGTCTGACCATCCTAAAAATTAAATTGTAGATTCAGAAAGGTCTTCCTGTACTCATTTTTTTTAACAGGTCAAGTTGGAGAGATGTAATTTGGGCTGATGAAATTGATGCATAACATAAAAGTAATACGTCAAAGTTTCAAGATGGCGGCTGCGCACCATTTCAAAACTTTTTTTATGGAATAAAATAAAATACAATAATAATTTCAAAAATAATGATATTTATTTATGAATTGTACAAACTGTTTTGGCTAAAATGCTAAAGTTATCATGTTACGTTACTGCCGACGTTAGGCTTTTGCAGTCAACAACTGCTTACAAAAATAGCTATTTATAATCATAATGCTTTTAGCTGAATCAATTAAATTGGCTATAGGAACTTCACTTTGATCACAATAATTAATCCTTATCTAGTGATGCTCATATAATAGGTTCAAGTTTGAATCACACATTAGTAAAACCATATACATGGCTCAAGTATACAACTCTCTCTCATATTGCAGTAAATAAAAGATAACATTTCATAGCCAATTAAAAACAAAATTATGTTATAATTTACCATGTGAACAGTCCTGACTGTCACAAAAAAATTAGAGTTGAATAATAAAACAATTATTATAAGAGTTGTTGCTTGTTGTGAGGAGAAGAGAAACATTCATCCACTACAAACCATACAATACAGCGTTTTATATTGTTTAAAAAAATATGATACTCATCTACACAAGCTTTTTAACAGTCCATAAGCTAGAGGTTTGTTTAAGAGAGAAGCAGTAACAATAACAAGGTTTGATGAACATTTGCGATATCAAGGGCAACAATATGTGAATGTTTTCCAATAACTGGACAAGTTTCCACAAGCATAACAAAAGCTACTAGGATATAAATAAATCTTATTGGAAACCAGTTAGATGAATGTTATATGATGATGATTTACTATGGTCTGTACCAGCAGGTCAGGAGTGCATTTATAAATCACTTGGTAATGTGAAATCATACAGTAATGGAATGTGGATTTTGCCAGATGAAATTTTACCCTGAGGTGCTTTCCAGTGCCTTGTTTGGGTTACTCTGAGTAACTCAGAAGTAACCACCACCTGTCAATACATTCCACTGCTCTAGAGTATCATGCACCTGAGCTACTCCTTTTTGAAATCACCTGCCCCCTCATGCACCAGCTTTTTATTCGGTGTTGTAGGTTATGTTATATCATTGGGTTTGTTTTTGCATTAAAATCACATTAAACTGATACCAGACAATAGAGGATGGTAAAAAACTGATAATGTTATGACCCAGAGTCACAACGTACATTTGAGATGTTCCTGAATAATAAAGATCACAAGAGAGTGCAAGAATACAGGTTCATAGCATCTTGTGGTTGGCTTCATCTATAACTAGACACCTAAAATAATTTTAAACACTAAAATATGAATTTGACACATTTATCCAGAAGCTTTACAATAAAAATGCAGACTTCTGACATGTTGCGCCATCATCAAGCATCAATTGGATGGTCTGACAATCTTCTGAAAATAAAAAAGCAAAATGTGTTTACATTTTTATTGTTTGGCAGTGAGATACAAATTGTCAACGTCAAAGCATACAACTCTCAATTCAAAAGCACTGGAAAGCACCTTTGAACTCCTGTAAAACTTAAGAACACCGAAATTATTGCAGTCATTTAATGACACTTGATGATCATTTGATTAATTACTATTCCTAACCACTTTTTCTGTGACTATTGCATTTATTATAAGAAACAAAATATTCCAAGGCAGCCCAGTAACCCATGTGACATTCACCTTATTTACAATATGCATACCTCTTTGGTTGAAAATAGATTTTTCTCAGAATGTGGCATTAGAACACAATCATCATCACTTGGCTGTGACTGAGAGATGTGTGGTTTTGGGGGCTCTTTCAAAGTTGCGGGTAACTCGTACAATACGGTATGATACTTGGAAGCATTTACTGGTGGTATGCTGAAACACCATGACCCTTTTCCTTTATATAACTCAGCCAGACTCGCTCCTAGCCAGGTCCTTTCCGAGTTATCGGGATCATCTTTTTCCATATCAATTTCCATGTCCTACGAATTCTTATCCGGCACTTGAGGTCTTATGCCTTCAAGAGAAGAATTTAGTAACAGAAACTGCTGATACTAATAAAAAAACATTCCGAATGGAGGAGCACTGGAGAAGTGCAATCACTCGTCAGTCACTTCAAAAACAAATACAACAAAATTTCTTGAACAAAACCTAACCTCAACAAATTCATCATATTATGACATAGAGCTTAAAGTGAAAGAAGTGAAATGGCCTGGATTAAAATACCTTTTCCCCATGTTTATCCCTAAGAATTCATTCAGTATAAATGTTATAAGCAGTAATACGTATGTGGTTCCACTTAGCTTCTGTAAACCATCAAGGTGGGATTCAGACACAATTCAGATAAAAACATTGTGTTTAACATTTATGGCTTTAGTAGATATATCCCATTCTGTGTAGCGTTTTCGGTCAGTGTTCAGAGAGTTTCACTCTCTTTCCCCCGGTATCTGCCCAGTATCCCACAAAACATAATATACACTCTGTATCCTCCGTAATCAGTTATCGATTTTTTGACAGCCATGTGTTTATAACCATACTTTTTTCAAAAATCTTTTTATTCCAATATGTTTTTGAACAATTTTAATCTGAAATGTAGATATCTTCGAGTAGTATCACACATCAAGCGATATTCCACCGACATTGCTAATCATGAAGTGATATCGGATCTACTTGGTAAGTGCTTGAAAGTTATAACGTTCCTTATCGATATCTTTTTTAATAACTTAATTAATTCTAGGAATTAGTATTCAAGAAGCGATGTATTATGTTGAAAAGAGAAGATTGAAGAATAAGGAAACACAGTCACTTATAAAATCCATTCAGTATTGTCAGTCAATAGGATTCAAAAATGATGACATTTTGTGGTGTCCAATGTTGCTGACACAGCATCCACTGACGGTAGAACACCACTATTTAGCTATGAAAGAAGGAGGGTTCTCAAACATTGAACCCATCATTTTAGCAAGGTATAGATTTTCTAATTTTTCATGATTTCACATTCCCCTATTGTGGATTGCAAAACATAATTGGAAGAAATGAATGGGTGAGAATGATTAGTGCCATAATTTTGAATCAACTTCTAAGGCTCTTTTCATCCATATACTTTGTTTCAGAGCAATTCATTTTATGAAAAAAGAAGTATTAAATTTGAAAAAATGTGCCATAATTATGGATAAAACTGATGTAGCTCGAAGTTTGGTAGAGCATATAGAAAATAAAGAAATTGCTGAAAAGGTTTATGAAAGACATGATGATTATACACCCTGGAATATAGTACATATGAATATACTCAAATCATTTTTAAGTAGGTATTTCAATTAAAATATCGAACACACTACATCAATAACCAAATGTGATTTTTCTAGAATGGCGATTGAATGCAGGTGAAGATGATATAGTGAAATTATTTACTGTGCACAGGATGATCATAAACAAAAGTTTTCGAATAATCCAAGAAAACATTGCCATAGCAGAGGAACTGGGCTTTAATTCAGACAAAATATTGAAAAATGGATTTCTGTTGAACAACTATCCAACCTATGCCAGAACTATTTTGGAAGATTTTTCAAACTTAGCTGGAGCAGATATGAAGAGAGCCATTAAACATCATCCAAAACTCCTGACAAGGCCACCTAGAAACATAATCAAAATTTATGGGATTTTGAAGGTAAAATGAACTTTTTTTCAAAGTTATGAGATTAAACAATCCAAGTTGATAATAGATGGAATAGATACATAAATAATAACAGTGAGCATCAAGTGCACCATAATTTGCAAATTTGAGACAATGCATTTTTTGAGCCTTATCACTGTTACTGATCTCCTTCAGTCTGAATCTCTCTCTCTCTCTCGCTCTATCTATCTATCTATCTCTCTCTATCTATCTACCTATAATTCTATCTATCCATCTCTCTCTCTTGCTCTCCCTCTCTCTCTCTCCCTCTCTCTCTCTCCCTCTCTCTCCCTCTCTCTCTCTATATATCATTTTCAACAACTTCAGCTTCTTATAAACGTTTATATATATTTATTTTATTGTATCTATATTTTATGTGTAAAATAAAGAAAATTAATTTAGGAGTTTGAAATACCAGATGAGTTGATAAGAAAAGGAATGAGTGTCTTCTCGATGTCTCCAGAAACTGTTAGGGCAAGGTTGCAAGCAATAGAAGGCGATCCTGATATGAAGACCCTCTTAAAACATCCAAGAATAATTGATTTTCTTTTACACCACCAAAAAGTCACGAAAAGGCTGTCTTTCTTACAAGACCTCCAACTGAGGTGTGCTAGTTTTCAAGTTTTAGGTAATATTTCAGCACCTTCTTTTTTCATAGTTATAGAACAAACATGTGGATATCTCCCAACCATATACACAGTAAGCATGGCCAGTAGCATATATACAACTTACAGCTTGGAGGACCAAAACCCGACTTTTTTAATTTTTCAGTTAAACGTTTCAATTAATACATTTTAATCATCTTACACTTAAAAAGTGGCAACTTGTTTTTGTGCTTACCTGATAAAATGTACACAATTTCAACTTCTAGGTTGAAAATAATGCAAACATTGTTGTTTACTGTGTGTATTTCTCAGTATTTTTGAAGTGCCATAATTCAAAAAATATTGGAAAAAACGAACATGTGTCTCACTAGGATAATGGCCAAAGATTTATTTTTCTGATTTTAAGAGGAAAAGTAACTTCTAATTTCCATATATTTTGTGACCCATCACATATTAGATATTTATGTATACAATATGAAATGACTAAAAATGCTTTAAAGGCATGCTTTAAGTGTTTGAGACTACCATCTACAAGTTCACAAAAAAAGTGTGTCATACATATCATAGTTGTAAAGCATGAAAAAAGATGAAACAGTGCTTCTGGATCTGTGCTGGAAATATTTTGACATAGGACCCTACATTTAGAGCTCTATGTAATACTTTATCACCAATCCTAGTATTAAAACCAAATATGGCACCCCTCAGTTCCAAAACATCCCAATCTCCAAATTTTTCAAATGTGGAAATTACATACTGATTTGCAAATTTTGGAATGAATAAATAAATAGTTCACTCCAAAAATTTTTGAGTCACAAAGAATGTGATCAGCAGTATATACTGTTCGGGGGCCTAGGCTGCCCAGGCTTCTGCCTTTGTACATGTATGCCACTGACCATCACACCTAATTTTTTAAATAAGCAGGTTTAAAAATGTTATCTTCTCTAATTTTGATTCTACTATTTCATTAAAAGGTACTAGTAATGAAGATGAATTTAACGACTACATTAGGGAAGGCAAAGACATAAATCATCCGGCTGACATTATATTTTTTCTGAAGAGCATATTCAAAATTGATGATCCAAGTCTTAAAGATAAAATAAAAAGGCATCCACACTATTCACGAATACCACTGAAGGATATGTTAGAAACATATAAGTTTTTAATCCATCGCAAGTTTCGTAAAATGCACATATACAAAGCTGTACATATCTTATTATATCCAAAGTAAGTACAATATAAGTGAGGATTATTCATTATGGTTATTGTCCGGTTTTTCTCATAAATGATTTTTTTGTTGTTGAAGATTTATTTACCATTAATGCTACAATGTCAATTTTGTATAATGATTGAGTTACATATTTTTCTTCAATCTATTTACTGTAATTTTACATTCTTGTCCATTCAAATTACTTCACTATGCGTTTTGATTATTCATAGTGATTTTTTAATTTCACCTTAAACATTTTTAAATTCGAACACTGTTTAATATCATTATTCAATTTATTAAATTCAAATACTCCCTTTTGAATTATAGATTTACTAGTTATGCTACTATTACAATTTTGCAGATGAAAATCTATACTGTCACTAGTTTTGTAGTTATGATAATAACTACTTACTTTTGTGAAGTTTTTTAAATGTGGTGGTAATACATGATTTTTTAATTTGAATATGAAAACGAGAACTGAATAATATATGAAATTTTTCACATTCAACCACTGCAGTTCTTCTAACATAGTCTTAATTCTAGTATATTTGTTTTTATTTAAAATGATTCTCATAGCTTTATTTTGTAGAATTTGTAATTTTGAAAATATGTTTTCATTTGCTGTAAACAAGATGGTTGAACAATATAAGAAAGGGGAAGAATTATAGTGTTATACACAATTTTTTTGGAATACATACTAAGATTATGGGAAACTCTATAGAAGTACTTTTTTTTATATTTTGGAAATAATGTATTCATAATGCTCGTGAAACAGCAGTTTACTATCCACATATATACCAAGATATTTAAATGATTCTACTACTTCCATTTTTTCATCATTAATTTTGTGCCTAATTGTATTGCCAACTAAATGATTTCCTATAGACATACATTTTGTTTTATTATTGTTTAATTCAAGTTTATTGACATTTAACCAATTCATAACTTTTTTAATATCACTATTTAATAGTTCTAAAGCAGTGTCCAAATGCTTATGTGCTATATATGTATATCAATGTATCGTCCGCAAATATTTGAATTTTGCAGTGTTCTAAAATGTCAGAAATATCATTTATATAAATAATAAATAGTAAGGGGCCCTAATTTACTCCCCTGTGGCATCCCTACTGATATATAATGAACACTTGACATAATATTTCCAACTTTGGTTTTTTGACTTCTATTTGCTAAATAATTTTGTAAAATGTTTAATACTGATCCTTTAAAGCCATAATCATGCAATTTCATTAACAATTTTTCCTATCTATAGTCTCAAATGCCCTTTTGAAGTCTAAAAATACTGTTACAATACATTCTTTCTCATCTATACTTCTTCTCCAGTCCTCCACCACCATTTGGATTGCTGTTTCTGTGGAACATTGTTTTCTAAATCCGTTTTGATTTTTTGTCAAATTTTTTTCTTTTCTTGTTATGACGTACAGGGGGTTTCAGAACTAAGGTATCAAACTTCTAAGGGTTATTCAGTGTAACAGTAGAAAACATTTGAGTATAGGGACCCTCCGGAAAAGTGGCACTGCGGGCCTAAGACCCCTTAAAATTTAGAAAGAGGATGAATTGCCTAAATAGGATTTAATGCATTTAATTTTTTCCTTTTGTACATGATATCATCACAACAATTGTTCAAAATGTCATCCTCCAACCTGAATACACCGATTTAAACGTCGCTCATGATTTCTGCGGACTTGACTAAAAATTTGATAGACGAGTTTAATGATTTCAAATGCTGCTGTAATTCGTCCAATTAAGTCTTGCTCTATTTCTACTGGAGTTTCGTAAACTAATGACTTTACATGTCCCCACAGGAAAAAAAATCTAGCGACGTTAAATCGGGTGATCTATGAGGCCAAGGATTCGCACCACCTCTGGCAATCCAACACTGCCCAAACCACTGAGCCAAAACACAAGCGCCGGACATGGGTCCCTATACTCAAATTTTTTCTACTGTTAGACTGAATAATCCCTACAAGTTTGATCCCATAGTTCTGAAACACTCTGTATATGAGCCTTACTGCAACAAATTATTTTTATTTCGATTTGTATTCACCCTACTGTCTGCGACCGAGCGAAAAGTGTACTTCATCATTTTGTTTCCCGGGCATTAGGCCCCACTTTCCCCTCACAGACTTCTTTACGCTCTAGGGTGCTAGTTACTTTACACTTTAGCGCCCGCTATAATAAAACAGATATCTGTTGCTGTGCAACTAGCAGCACTCAATGAGATATTACGGTTTATTTATTTATTTTAACAGTTTGCTACAATTTTTTTATTTTGACCTCGAGAGCAATAAACGCCCAGATTAAAATGTTTCATATTTAATTTAGTCGTTACAGTAGAATCATCTGTGATCAAACCATGTTCCCCATATTCCGTCCCAGCTAGGGCTTGATGGTCTGACAGCTGCGTTTTTAAAGCCTTATGTTCGACTAATATTAAATTTATAATATAATTATTATGTACCTTCAATTCCAGGGCTAAAATAGAAAAAGTCATTAAGTGTCTACGAAGTGGCGAGGTACCTAATGTAAAATATAGACCGTTGAGTCAAGTTGACAGACTGAATCTCATAATATATATGATTGAGAAAGAACACCATTTTACTGGAAATGGAGTATGGATGAATGGACGAAATAAGACAGAAAACCACCCTGACATAACAGAAGAAACTGATTTGTGTGATGCTCCTGTTGAAAAAATTAAAATGTGATAACTACTTGTGCTTTTATATCTATTTATATATGAAAAATAAAATAATTTACATAGCCTCTCTATTTATATACCACTTTACTTGGCGTTCTATTAATGTGTTTGGGTGTTTTATGCAATGTTTTTTCTCCTAGTAACATATACGCCAAAGTTTTAAGATTACCGAGATGTTAGGCTCCGCAAAATAAATCAAACAGAACCTAATCCGGACCTGCACCTCGATCAGTCAAACGCGAACAGGTGCGATGCGGGTCAGTACGCAATCCAGGCGCTTGTCGTGTTTGTAAACAAATCTGTTCTAAAAAGGTGGCACACTCTGACAGCAGTATCGGAGTTGTCCATATTATTTTAATTTACGGCGAGTGTTTTAGATCGTTTGTTACAGATCTTTCGTGATTTCTTTTTTGTTTGAATCGAAATGAAATGTTGAGTGTATACAACTAAGGTGAACACTGTTGTCGACTACGAGTGCGAATTTAGTAATCTGCTGTATTCATTCGGGAAAGGCAGTCGATTCTCAAAGCCTATAGGGATGTTTGGCTATGACAAGCAAGTAAATATGTCTGTGAATCTATCGCAGGCAACTTTGAAGAATACTTACCAATGACAGAGCTGTGCTTGAAATTCCTTTTCGATTAACGGTAAATACTTTATATATTTTTTGTCTACTTTTTCTACTTTCGACGCATATTAGCTTTGTTATTATAAACGTAGTTGTTTTTTAAAAGGAAAGTCCCAATTTCCAGGTATATTAGGTAATATTTAGGTTAGGACTTTAGTTTTAATCTTCCCATGATGATGCTAACATAGTGAAACATGAGTCGAGTGTTTAAACAATCCGTTTGGCGAGTGGTAAAACTTTGAAATTTGAAAAATATTTTTCCCACTTCTATCGATATGTCAACAAATGTTGCTCTTCTCAAACCTTCTCTGTGATCTTGTCGCGTCCTATGTATATCGGATGGATCTGCCAGGCTTCTGCTACTAATTTCAACTCGATCGAGTTATGTACACAAACAACTGGTCAGTAAAGCCGCTCCTGCATTCCTGGTGTATTGAAAATGTGGAACAATGTCCCAGAAGAGACTTTTCCCAGTTATACTAACCTTTACTAAGCTTAAAAATCCTCTCTGCAAAACGCATATAAGTTCTATACTTTATCTGAATATATTTTGCATTTTGTAAATTCCCAGTTCACATTTTTTTAAATCCATTTCAAAAATAATCATCTACACACACAAGCTCCCAGAAAAAAAGTATTTGATTTTATTTATAAATATACAAGAAAAACTATTTTAATCGATTTTCTAAAATATACTAAGTGACATATAAATCCGAACACCCAGTTTAAATGGTTTTATTTTAATAAAATTTTGTATAAGTACTTAATGAAGCATAATAAGTAAATGATAAAAATTTCAAAATGATTGCACTGCTTTAAAGCCCTTTGACCTTTAATAATGTGTGGATGCACCCTGATGTGCTACACATTCTCCAACGCGCCTAGGCGTGCTTCTGATCAGGTGGTCAATGTCCTCCTGTGGTATCTCATTCCAGGCAACCACCAACTCCTCTCGAAGTGCTTCTAGAGTCTGATGAGGACGTTGCAAATTGAGCAATCTCCTACCCATCATATCCCACACGTGCTCAATTGAGATCTTGGTGGCCATGGTAACAATGTGACATCATTATGTTGAAAGAAGTCTATTGTGACTCTTGCAACATGTGGTCGGGCATTATCTTGTTGGAAAGTTGGATCTGCCAGGGTGTCAAGATAGGGTAAAAGATGGGGTTCTAGAACTTCGTGAATATAACGCTGCGCGTTCATGTTACCTCTGATGAAGATTAAAGGTGACCTGGAACCATAAGCTATAGCACCCCAAAAAATAACTCCAACAGTGTGATGAACATGTCTTTCAACAAAAAACTCTGGATTCCTCCTTTCACCACGTCGCCTTCTAACCCTGGCACGACCATCGTGCATGCCTAAACAAAATCGAGACTCGTCACTAAAGACAATACTGTTCCATTCCTGATCCCAGAGTGACCGTTGTCTGCACCACTCAAGGCGAATACGTCGGTGTTCTCGAGTTAAAGGGAGGACCCAGTGTGGCCGGTATGAAAACAAGCCAAAACTTCTCATTCGTCGGTAAACACTTCGCATGCCAATAGGTCTTCCGTGTTCTGCAAACCATTCATTTGCAATAGACCTGGTAGTGGAGAAACGGTCCCTTAAGATCAATAATCTTAGGCGGCGATCTTCACGGTCTGTTGTTCTACGGCGGCGTCCAGTGCCCCTTGCTCTTTGCGTACGGCCTTCTCGAAGCTATGCCTGACAACACCCAACCACAGTGTCTACACTTCTTTGCACTCTAATGTCCAACTGATAAGGCTGAAAATTTGTTCACTTGTTATTTACAGTAAGATAAATACATTCACCAACTTTTATTAAAATAAAACCATTTAAACTGGGTGTTCGGATTTATATGTCACTTAGTATAGGTATATATTTTTTGACATATGTTGTTTTTCCCAGAAACCCCAAGTATTACTGCCCTGCCACTCCTTCCTGGTGGTGGAGTTTCGAAGCCCAGTGAACATAATGTCGGCATTTTTAGGGCTCTACTGACATACGTAATGTCACACCCAACTGACGTTATTCTATGACGACAAAGTATGTCGAATAAAAGACTAAATTCAAAGGCGATATGACGTGGATTTGACGTCTATCTGAAGTCGATATGACGTACAGTCGCTCGCCAAAAATAATCGCGAGGTGTATCCAAATGCTTCTTAAAAATTGAGGATGTGAATACGACGCCCACAAGCAGTGAGTTCAGGGGTGATAGAAAGGCGCCGTAACTTATATTCTACTTACCTACCACTCTTGAACCCTCTCGTTACGTCGTTATCACCTTCGCAATTTTTTAGGAGCATTTGTACAGAGTGTATCGAAGTGGTTAATAAAGAAGTAAAAAACAGCGTTTGATCTCAAAAACGTTCCAGTCCTCCTATGATTCAGAATTTGTAGCAACTTATCAAAACCGCTTTGCTTTTTACAGGAGGCCAAAGCACTCCTAGTTTCCTGGATGTCACCACAGCCTTATTGATTATGTGGCAATAGTATCGTCCCTACTAAATTCTGACACAATAAGGATTTTTCCGCGAGTCCACGGTGTAGCACTGTGCAGTACCAGGAACTGATACTTAAATGTACGTTAAAGACGACGAAGCCATGTTTACCTCGCTTGATTACAGATATTCTAGTAAAACTTGTTTATTGTTATACAGAAGAGTTTCTAATAAATTTGTTATTTACTTGATGACAAATATTACTAATGGGTGTTTTTTTTGCTAGTATCTTTTTGGCAACACTGTTTTTGAGAGATGATGCGTGAATCGTGTCTTGTGTCATTGTCAAACTTGTTCAGTTTGGTCTATAATTTAACCATGAATCGACTTACGAACGAACAACGCTTGCAAATTATTGAATTTTTTTATCAAAATTCATGCTCGGTTAAGAGAGTGCATCGAGCACTGCTTCCAATTTATGGGCAATTTGGTTGGCCTACTGAGGGAGCTATTCGGAAGCTTGTGACTAAATTTCGAACCCAGTTTACATTATTGGACATTAAACCACCAACACGCAGACGTAGAGTGAGGACTGAAGAAAATATTGCGGCTGTATCCGCCAGTGTTAGTGATGACCGTGAAATGTCGATTCGCCGTTCACAGCAATTGGGCCTCTGTTACTCCACTACGTGGAAAATTTTGCGACCGGATTAGGGTGCAAAACCTTATAAGATACAGCTGGTGCAAGAATTGAAGCCACACGTCCTCCCACAACGTTTCCAATTTGGTTAATGGGCGCCGGCAAAGTTGGAGGAAGATCCACATTTTTATCGAAAAATTGTGTTCAGCGACGAAGCTCATTTCTGATTGAATGGGTACGTTAACAAGCAAAATTGCCGCATCTGGAGTGAAGACCAGCCAGAAGCATTGCAAGAGCTTCCAATGCATCCCGAAAAAATCACTGTTTGGTGTGGATTATGAGCCGGTGGCATCATCGGGCCGTACTTCTTCAAAGACGACAATGGCCGGAACGTAACTGTGAATGGCGAGCGCTACCGTGCGATGATAACAAACTTTTTTTTGCCCAAAATGGAAGAGCTGGACTTGGCTGACATGTGGTTTCAACAAGACGGTGCCACATGCCACACCGCACACGAAACAATGGCCCTATTGAGAGGCGAGTTCGGTGAACAGTTTATCTCACGTTTGGGGCCCGTCAATTGGCCGCCTAGATCGTGTGATTTAACGCCGTTGGACTATGTCTTGTGGGGCCATGTTAAGGCTAATCTCTTCAGGGATAAACCAGCAACGATTGACTCACTGAAAGCCAATATTGAAGCATTTATTCGTGAGATACCGGCCGATATGTTGGAGAGAGAGTGCCAAAATTGGACCTTGCGCATGGGCCATCTAAAGCGGAGCCGCGGCCAACATTTACATGAAATAATCTTTAAACATTAAATTATATCGACCGTTCTATCGACTCAAATAAAGATTTAATCGTTTTTTCAAATTTTTTGTGTTTTTTTTATCAAAATCAAACTCACCCGTTATTAGAAAAGTCATATTAACAAGATACTTTTGGTCTAAGAACTCCTAATACTTTTTATAAATAACAATAAAGTAGTTATTAGTATTTGGATATCTAGTTTACCGTAATATTCATTAAAAGTACATATATTTGTAGGTAAGTGGTGATTTTTCAGAACTGACTGTACTAAAAAAACATCATAAACACAGCCTTTTAAAGGACGTCTTGTCATAAAAATAGCGTCAATAAAGATGTCATTCACGACGTCAATGACGTTTCCGATCAAAAGTGACCGAGTAATGATGTCATTTTGGAGTCATCTTGTTCAGTGGGTGGCCACTAGGCGACACTTTGAGCTGATCCCTGGTACCACCAACACAGTACTTCTTCACACAGCTTTCTACTGGTAACATGTTATTCAATCAACCAGCTCCAGCAAGCGATGTACCTAGGTTGATCTTGCACCGATCTGATGGTAAATATTTTAGAAAAAACGACGGATTAGCAGCTCAACGCACTCGGCTACCCAGCCTCTTGATGCCACTCCTCATAGTCAAGGCAAACGAGGCATCCTCAAAATACGAGAAGCACCCCTCAACTCAAGCTTAGGAGCGCCAGTGTTACGGCCTTGCTCATTTTTGTAAAATGTAAATGTAGTAGCTTTACGATATTAAAATTCATGAACACACAGTTATAGCAGACGTTTATTTACGAAATGAAGGGATTCATTAAAGTATTTTGCTCAGTTATCATGTCACGCTGCAAAATGGTCGAAATAGACTATAAACTTCACTCATTTGTAACTTTTTTACCCACAAGTAACGGTTCGTTACGAAGCTACTCCAAAACCCCCAATTTAATTACTAAAAGAATTTATTTCTCAACAACTAGGCCGGCGAGATGCTGTGACATGGGGATATAAAAAATGCTACAGCTTCTACAAAAGTGCTTCGACTGGAATTGCGAATATGTAGAAAAATAGAATGCAGGCGCCTTATCATGATGTGGATTGCAATTATTGGAAATTAATGTTTTGTGTACCTTTAAAAAAAAGGAGAACTTTTCTTTTGGATTACCCTTGTGTTTTTATTATCGCCTATATTAAGCTATGTTCCCAGATAACATCAAGTTGGACGGTGTAGTCTTATTCACTCTAATTGGCAATGCCCTTTCACAGAAAAAACATTGTCACTTAATAATGTGTAAAAAATACCTTGTCAATCATTCCATTTAGATTATTTAATAGATAATTTACCCTATTACACAGTTACAGCAGTACTAATTACAGAATTTCTGTAAGTATGAGTAATTATAAGATTTTCGATATTTACATGTCGGAAATACTCGTATATTAAGCAGGTCTATACTTTAACATTAAATAAGATATGTAATAAAACATGGGCTACAACTTATACCGACTTTTTTACGTCAGAACTTCACAAATGTCAGTTTTGCTCCAAATAAGAATCCTTTTCCAGTTTTAACGTAAATCTGATTATTTTTTATTTGATCTAGGTACTGTTTCATGTTACTCATAACTGCAGAGATGTTAGACTGTCTTACAATAAAGAAACACCCAGTATATTCATGTTACAATTGACAAGGTATACCAATCGCTATAAGCCTATGAGAATCTGCATGTTTGGCTATTTTAGTCATAGTACACTAGTACAAACAATTAATTTATACGCATAGAAGGCTCATTGCTCATATAAGTGAAAGTAAATAAGCATAGTGATAATGTAGATGGAAATTCCATGAAATGATCAATCAGCAAGATACATGGTGAAAATAATAAGACTCTGAAAGTCCGGGGATTTGAGTCCAAGATCTTGAAAATGGATCGTCTAAGTTGATGCAAAGATAGGGTAAAATCTAGACCAGAAAAAAACTAGTTACTAATTTTGACTATTTTTATTTGTAACTTTTTTGTTTTGTTGTTGTTTATTCACTTACACTTATAAGCATATCTGAATATAAAAGATATACAGTCTGAGTATAAAATCATAAATTGTTCTAAACGTCATATAAAAATACAATATATCACTTTTTTAAATATAACAATTTTCAATAATAAAATAAACATCATCTATATTATCCAATAATAATTTCTCAAAATGAGGTAACTATATTACAGCCAAACATTCACGTCGTGAGATGATCAGTCGCCACACAGTCGATACATTTTCCTATCATCTAAAATTAGCTTCAAAGATGTCCTTAACCTAATATGACTTTATCACCAATTACTTTAATATCACAATTTACTTATTCACATTGGGCTCACGATTTCAACTGGACGGCGAAATGCATTTTTCGTAGGCACAGCACTCTTGTCACAATTCGCTTTACTAACGTCTCCTTCAGGATGTCATTTCAGGCACAACAACGATTTTATGATGAAAATATACACCGTATATTGTAGCAGGGATAATGAAAATCTCGTTTTGTCGGAATTAGTTCACACCATTTAAGCAACAATATGCTAAAGATGGTATATGCAAATTTTCTAATAGGGAACATTTTCTCATGGAAAATATGACAATGCACGATTATCACCTTGACAAATAACCATTGTTAACCATTCAGCAAAAACTAGTTGAATATTGTTTTTCGTCAAACATAGCTTGCTAGTACGAACGCCTTTGATTTAAGTGCTTTAGAAGATAATGACTAAATGCGAGTGATGCTAATACATTTGAAAGTATTTAAGGTAACCTCAATATCTCAAACTTTTTCTGAGAAATTCAAGATGAAATTTCGAAGATGGACAAGTTTAAACACTCCGTATTCGCAGATTGAAGCATTTTAGAGCCTTTTTTATATCTTAAAGTACTGAATAGGCTTTTTAATTTTTCTGATGATATCTTGCGTTAATTATGTACAAAACATACTACATTTTATACCATTGTATCCACCAAATATTGTGCCTTGAATGGCTAGGTTTGTTTTTCCGAATGTATAACTGCAAAATATCGGAAAATATACGAGGGCTTAACCCTATGCTCCGTCCCTGTCCTTTTAGCAGATGTCTATATTATTTTATATAATATTATGTTTATCGGACGGCTGTTGAAATGCTTGAACACTGATGAAACAAGTGTATCAATGCTAGGTGGAGGGGGTATTGTCTAGAACATTGAAAAATACAAATTAATTGTAGCTTTATTGCAAGGGGTTACGGGCGCAGCCTAAAGATTAACCCTCATACCTTTTAAGTTGGCCGATTCTGCAGCCTTATAGTCTGGCACAAAAACTGAAGAGAGCAGCATATAACGCAACGTGAGCCACTGCTAATGCGGCGTGTTTTTTAATGTGGCGCACAGACTTTGCCAATAAAAATGCTCGACGCGTTGTCAGTGGCGTACGATGTGTCATGCCACTCTCTTCCGTTTTGGTATCCAACTAAAGCAAAAGAAAATACACGTTGGTGATTGACAAAAAAATCGAGCCTCCTAATGACAATTAGTTTTTCCTAGGTTTCATCAAAGTGATCTTTCAGCTACCGTTATGAACTCGGGTAAATTCATTTACTCTCGGTCATTGGTGCTTTTGCTTATTGACCATCCTGAAAGAAAACGTTTATCACATATACCACAGCACGGTAAATTATCGCCAGCTCAAGCTCAACATACAAGCGACGGACGTCTCAACTCAATTTCATGAGATCTTCTTGAGAGCCGCGATCCTGTCTCTGTTCTCGAGAGGTTCTCCCATCCTACAGATCCTGATCACCGCCTTCTTCTCCTGGAGGCGGCGCAGTATGAAGACAGTTCCTCTCGCGAACAAGACTTTTCGCAGCACTCGTTGTAGACCCCTTTCCCCGCCCCTCGCTTCCGACGCTTCGCATAGTTGCTTAGCAACGAGGCATCGGCGCGCTTTTTGAACGGGTACTCGGGGTCGTCCATGGTTTCAGATGACTCGAATTGCGCGTGTCTCTTAGTGTACGCTGGAAAAAAGAAAGTTATGCTTAGAACATAGCTGTAATGACTGTTAGGTTCGAGTCTTTGCTCAAGCGTGTTTTTTTTCCAGGCGTCGAGCCGTTAACGGGCGTTCAAACTTCATATACAAGGTGTTTCGTTCTTGAATGAACATAATGCAATGGTAAAGAGTATGAACCGATACCTTTTCATACTGGAAAATAGAAAAGTTTAAATTCTGCTTTTACGAATAGTGTTTTTATCTAAGCCCGCCATATCTTTAATTTGTCAAATCTCAGGCACTATTAAAAACCAATTTTATTGAAATTTTGAAGGTTAACAAACTTTGCCTGGGAGTAACGTAAACAGACTAGACGGACAGTTAAAAAATCCAGGGCCGGACTCATTTTTCAATTTTGTTTTTTATTAATGTCAACCGCTTTTAAGCTGAACATTGAAATTTACTTGACTATGTACAATGAAATGTGCTCATTCATTAGAAAATAGATTGATTGCGCCTCTTTTAGTTTATTAGTTCAAAATTCTTATTCATTCAAATATCGTATTTTTAGCAGTTTCACAAAATAACTAGACGAGTTTGGAAACAAAATTCCAGGATTGGATTCGTTTTTTTATCCCCTGGTTTTATTTAATCAAGTGCAAAGCAAGTTATGCTTTGAATGTATTGTTTCGCATGAAAAAAAAGTAATACATTATGTGAAATGGAAAATTAACGTTATGCACTCTATTTTGTTTTTTAGCAAAGTTTTAATTAATTTAATTTGCAGCGCATCAATTTAGTATTTCCGTCGAAAAAATGGACATTATATACCTTGGTCAAGATGTATGTAATTATTGACCAGTACGCTGTACTAATATCTATATATTTCCATATTAATTTGATTAGTTGTAGATATTGTACTATACCTAACAGAGATATCTAAACTGAAATTAATGAATAGGATTACAAATGATTTGGGAATAGGGGGATAGGACATAAAGTCTTCATTAAAACCGTTTTCTTATAACAACACGACGATCTATACAAAATATATTCTACTCTGGTATAGTAACCAAAACGTTAGCTGTGAAAGTATTTACTTATGGAATTAAAAGCTACTTTCAATAGAATATTGGGACCAAACATGGTGATTTTTATCGGGTTAGTATAGTAACAAGAATTAATTATATTCAAAACACTCGATACCTTCTGTTAGTTATGACTTAAGAAAAAGCAAAAATTACCTATAGCCTCAAATAGTGTCTGAATTAAAAATGTTCGTTAAAACGAACTATCCAACGTAAATATAGGGTGGCCAATAAATCACTGATTTATTTATCCAATACCTTTATAATGCCTATAATGAAATTTTATACAAATGCCCGCTTCTGGAAGCTTAGCCATGTTGGTCACGTTTTCCATCAGTTTTCTTCTGGTGAAAATTTTAATATTATTATTTTTTAATAATAGCTTTCCGAATATTGCACCAGCTGCTCTATAGTGCTTGATCTGTTGACAAGAAGCTTATTTCTTTAAAATCGCCAGAGAAAGAAGTCTGGAACCGTCAAGTCTGCTATACTTGGAGGCCAGATGAGATGAGGTCAAAAATAAGGCCCGATGACGCCCTAGACCGAACTGACACTGACGAGTGTTAACTCGAAGTATTGCCAAGCATTGCGGCTCTTAATATTCGATTCCTTAACCTACAATAAGTGTGTCTCCTTGAGGATAAAGTAACATATCACAAAGGTAAAGAAACGATGAACGTTTTGCGAATAATATGTCCATTAGACGATGATATCTGGCTCCCAAGATCACCTGTTTTAATGGCACCAGACTTCTTTCTGTGTGGATTTCTGAAAAATAAGATTCGTGCTGACGAATAAAACCCTGAAACGGAATATTCTGTAAGCTTCCCAAAATACCTCTAACGAAGCGTACCAAAAAGTGATAGAAAAATGATCAAGAGGACTCAGCTTTATGCGGCTATCTAATACCCGATACTGCTCTGTAGTATTTCTTTACAAAGTGTATTAAAAATCAGCTATCTGGTTGTAAGTAAGACTTATTTTTATTTACATTTCTCACAGGGTACCGTTAAAGCAGCAGTCCTTCAAACTTAGCAGAGGTACGTTTTTATTTTTCAGAAAATAAACAATGGGCTATTAAGAGCTGGATATGCTACCTATAAGAATATGCCTCAAATATTGAATATTTCTTTTCGATGACATTCTTAACTAACTCTTTCGGAAAGGGTTTATATTTTATGAAGATGAGATGAATGTATACTTACGATTATTCTTCCGCAGCGTATTATAATTCCCTCTGCAAATGGCTGAAAGTGCCTGTGCCAAATGGCTCCCGCAATACTTTCGGCTGGAGGTCTTAAGCACCTGTTGAACTTCCTCAATTTGACATAATACTACGCACGTGCTAATGGCAACAATAACAATAGTGGCACGGAAGTCCATCTGCAAAGAAAAATGAATTTTTAAGCTTGTCTTCTTTAATTTGTGGATAAAAATTAGGTTGTGATACTTATAGTTGAACCTCTAGCTACGGAGGCATATTGCCCTATTATGACAATAATAATAACAATATTCTGTTTTATGGGGTCAGTTGAATAAAAAGAAAAATCAAGTTAGTTGAATGAGGAATGACAGTCTAATTATGTAAGTTTCAAGTAAAATGCATTCCTTCATATAGCTGACATTGTAACTTTAACCTAGACCATAATACTACTGAATACTCTGTAGGCTACTGGTATATCCATGTACCATGGCGTGAAATGTAGAAGTATCATAAGGCGAGAATGTTTAATCTAAGTGTCTCACAAAAGACCATTTTTAACTATGGTTTTTGAATTTAATCTAAAATTACACAGACAAAATGTTACATTATTCAAATATACACATAGCTTTTAATAAAGAATTTTATAAATATTTTGTCAATTGCATAATAATTAGTAGACAGACGATCTTTGGCATTTTTATCACTGAAGCTCAATTAATCATTCAGACATGTTTAGTAAACAAAAATCTACATAGATTCTCAAGATATAATCGCATCTTGTTTTTCTAGGATGTTATCAAAAATGTTTTAATATTGTTTATCATGTATGTCTAGAATTTTTTATATTTATTTATAGAAAAACTCTTCGGTTCTTGATTGGTTATTGCTATCTATTAATAGTACTGAAGTCATAGTAGCCTTGGATTTTATTGGAATCGTCTAGTTATTTTACTTCCCAATGCTGGCATTGTAATATCGATTATTTTTAATTACAAGATAATGGATGCGTACACAAGCACGCATCTGTATGTGCCCTGGAGAATATTAGCTTAGTTGTTGCATATAAACGCTGAACAGTACATCACAAACTTCTACAGGCCTTCTACAGATCTTCATCATATTACAACAATGTGGTACTTTAGTTTACGTTTTTTGTAAAAAGGCACGGGTTACTTTGAAAAAAAGTTCATTAGAGAAAACGAAACATCATGTCGTATTGCATGATGATACATTTTGAAGGGATTGTTCAAATTTTAGTCCAAGTGCATAGCCTTTAAAGTGTGCACATTCACCAAAATTCAAATTAACGGAAGATGTTCTGATGGCTTACCAAAAAAAAAACACCACATGAGTGAAATTTCACAGGATGTGACAATATGCACTTGCGCTGTATATGTTTGAAAAAACTATGTTCTGTCTTTCCCTGAAAAAGCACCCGTTACTCGTAACAGTCTTACTATGAACATTCACCAAATTTACAAAGTAGCAAAATGAAGCACCACAAAGGTTCTTAACTTTTGGATTTTACTTCAGTCTTACCTTTATACATTTTTCGGTAAAAAATATTAAAGGCAAATTTTGAAGAATTCCTACGCCTACTAGCGAGAAATGCTTTTGAAAATCGGTTCACTGGCAGCGGAGCTGGAAGCCAAATCACGAAAATAATAAAAATCGCTTAAACCCTGTTTCTTGACGTTTCAGAGGACATTGATCACTTAAAAAAAATAATTAGGAGTAAAAAATTGGGGGTGAAGGTGTAGTATATTAATGCACTTCCAACTTCATGCATCATATATATTTCCCCGTACATTTGCCCTTAAAACTTAGAACGACGGAGAAATGCTTTCGATAGGCGTGCCTGTGGCTACTGTCTGGCTTCACCGGCCGTCGGCGCCGTTCCAGTCTTCATAAGTATCCTTGCATGACTGGCGCTCTGCCGCGCTAACGCGTATGACGCATCTTCCGATCAGATATTGAGGAGGGGCGACGTTGACAGCTGGTTGGTATTACGGGTACGAGAGAGAAATAATGTCTATGGATTAATTATATTTAACTGTTTGACGGACTTTACTTTCTCTGTTATACATGTTTGCAACTAACTTTTTTCTCTTATGATCTAACTTCAACATGCTTCTTTCGTCCGTCCGACCAAAGACAACCAAGCATGGACAGCTGTTTCGTGCTTTTTTGGCAATGGTGATGACGTTGCGTGGGAAGTGCAGGGTCAACCCACTTGAAGCCATTTTTCTTATCAAATTAATCGTTACATCAAATTGGCTGTCTAAGGTCTTATTTTGAAGATATTTTCACCTACTACAACTTCCTAAATTTGATGTTTTTAAAAAAGACCCACCAAAGATTTTGTTTTTCTTGATTAGAGCCCTTTTCGTGTTTTGTTGTAAAACAGGTTATTACATTTTTTTCTAAACAGCTAGCTTGGTCTATACAGCATTATCATAGATTAATCGTGTACCCGTATTTAATGCGTACGATCGAGAGAGAGAAATAAAGTTAGAGTGAAAGCGCAAATGTAGCATGCTCACGATACACATACACTGAAGATAGCATATTGCGCACGTGGGCGGAGCTTCGTGACGTCACCCGGAGAGTGGTCGGCTCGTGGTTACCAGCGGCAGGATTGTCGTAACGTTACTGCAGTTCACGTGTATCGTGGTTAATACTATATAGTCCGATTTGTTGGTGTTTTTTGGTGGTTTTGTGACCTGTTCTATTAGTTATACATACTTTATATAGCCTGTGTGTTTGATAACTTGTTAAAAATGCGGTGTGCTGTTGTGGGATGTAATTCCGACAACCCAAACCTTAGCAAAAAATGGCTACATCTTTCAAAAAGAAAAGACAAAGTCAATGTAAAAAGCGCTAGGGTTTGCTCGAAGCATTTTTGTGAAAGTGCTTATAAGGTCAATTTGAAACATACCCTTTTGGGTTACACCCCTAAAAGATATCGTGCTCTAAAAGATGATGCAATTCCTTTGGAAAATTTAAGTCTCTATCGTCACCTGGACCATCTACATCTGTAGATGGGGAAAAGCGGGTCATTCCACTAACCGCATCATTAACGGATAATCTGAATGCACCTAAAGTATCAGCTGACTATAGCGAGGAAGCTTTAGTGGAAGAACTGGATGAGTTCGAGTATGATGGGCTGAAAAATTTGGCCGGCTTTGTTTGCCATAAATTGCAGGATGAGAGGTTGAAAATTCAAATGAAACTTACCCCTGGTTAGACCATCTTAGTGAGAGTGGATTATCAAAACCTTCCACAGCTTTCATGAATCAAATTGAGAAGCTTAATAAGGTGTTTACTACATTCAATGAGGACGGAATAGTGACAGACAAGCAAAATTCTATAGGCGAATTTTTGTTGAAGAGCAGCAAGATTGACTGCCCTGAAAAAGCTAAGAAACTATTTTGCAGGTCAAGGATGTTCTTCAGGATTAAAGAACTGAGTAAAAGTTTGAAAGACCAGAAAAATCGTGAAAGGAAATGGAGAAAAATTGTGGCTTAGACTAAGTCATTGCCATTTATTGTTATACTGCCAGCTTACTGCAAAAAGATGATAACTCCATTTTTATACTTTTCGATTTGCGTACATTTTCACACTTGTATGTAGTTAGTACTAACGAAGTTCTGTGAAATAAGGATGCATAAATGTAGAGCAGTATTAACGTAATGAGCATCTTACTCCTGCTCCACAGAACATACTAAAATATAGGAAATGTAGAAAAATCTTGTTTTTACAGTAAAGTGACGATACACACTCGATTGTGGAGCTAGAAAGCCGTTTAAGCTATAGCCTGTGAGATAGGAATAACAAGGTTGAAATCTTTTATTAAAATTTTGTTTTGTATAAAATTTTAATGTATCTAGTGTCACTCGCATCGCTAAGACGAATTCAACGACACTTTATATGCGAAAATCCGTCCAGTCGTTTGGCCTGTAGGTGCAAATATGCACGTTTTCCACATCAACCCAAATGATAATCACTCTCCGCGTGACGTCATGCACGGCGGCGGACGAAAATCGAACAGCGGAGCATCCGGCACTGTAGCATGCTCGATATCACGGACGAGTCTGTGGGTGTGACATTCACGCTCTCGCTCTGAAATACGTGTTTTCCACTCGTACACATTAAATATGGCACTTCAATGATTCCCTGTCGTCCTGTATACCGACTATAAGAAGCGGTGTTCCCAGCCTTCCCAGCAGTAGCTCCTAGATTCAGTACCTTGGCTGCGACTAAAAATATATTTTTACGGAGGTTAGCTAGCGTAAAATTTGAGCGAGTAGTGACTATACTATTCGCACTCTGTATACTTTGCTAGAACTATCTGCCGCACATGTATAAAAAAGTTCACGTTCATCCAGAGTCCTCTACGTGTCCTCCAAGGACACCGAATTTGACAAAATACCCGGAATGTTACTGTTATCTAATGCAAAAGTTATTTGCAACTTTTAATCTAATGTTAGAAATATATTTTTATCTTATCAGAAATATTTTGTTTTTCGCAAAATTAATTATAAGAATAACTTGAGCAATGCGCATTTTTTCTCGTGATGTAATTACGATTAGTTATACTTGTCTATTCTGGTTCCGGCGCGAGCTTTTATATACTATTTTGGACAGATCAAAGATGATTAGGTCTAATCTATTAAAAAATAAGGCGCACTTATTGAATTTTAGGGTGAAGTGAACGAAATTTCTTAATGCATTAATTTGGAAATTATTACTGCGATATGATGCAAACCTTTGTGGCTCCTAAAATTCGATAATTTAAACTACAAAGAACATGGTTCCAGTAGGATGGAGCGACATGTCATAGCTACAAAAATTGTTGAGTATTATTCGGATAACTTTCAAAATATTCATCACGAAACCTATCAAAAAATGATGACAACTTAACCAAGAGGTCTTAGGTTTGTGAGTCTTCCAGAGGCAGACATTTATGTGATATCATTGTCCAACATAACTTCAAACTTCAAAGTTATTGGAGAAAAAATCCAACATCAGTTATATATTGTCCACCCTATATTATTTGCGTTCAGTTTTCAGAATTGGTGAACCTATTCTGAATTTATAGATTGAAACAGAACTCACAAAAATCCTCTGTATTTTCTGCTTGAGGAATCAGTTATTACGAAATAAACATTACGGATAT